TTTATTGTGGAGATACGCGTATTTCATGCCATCTCAAGGATACCATGTCTATGAAAGCGTAATATTTGCTGAACTAACAAGCTCAATAGATGAACCCTGCGCTTTACCACCCGGCTGGGATGTCAGCTACAGACCGGAGTTAAATCATCTTGGCGGACGCCGTCATATTTGGCGGGATCTTTTCCTCGCGTTCCGTGGAGTTTTCCATGGTCGGCATTTTAGACCCGAAGAGTAGCTGCATACCCAGAGAAATCTGCCAGCGGCACTGCCAGCGGCATATTCAACTGGGATGTTGCGCCGTCAACGTACAAACAGCAGACCCAAACAAGCCACGCTGATTCAACTAGGATGTTGCGCCGTCAACATAAGAAAAGCAGGAAAGGCTGCACTGAGTGTAAGCGACGGCATATGCGGGTAAGTCTGCTTCCAAACCCAACACCGAGGCTGTTTCCTTCTCATGCGAACGATATCTGATATTCTTTGGGCAGTGCGACGAGCAACGGCCCACATGCTTCAACTGTATCAAGGCTGACCGCCTCTGCTCCTTTTCTAGTGAGCCATACACAAGGGTTAGTCGGTCTCACAGTTGTTGGAATACGTGTAATTGACGCTTCAACCAAGAGCCAAGATTCGACCCCCGGATCTGAACATCGTTCTGCTGGGGCATCTCCAAGCGGCAGCTCAACGTGTCCCCAGGCAATCGGAGACCCCGATGCTGTTAACATGCTTCACATGGAGCTACTTCTCCACTTCAGCTTCGATGTGTACGTTCCCGAGTTCGACGACAGCCTTGGTAGACCGGCAACCGAGCTAGTTCTGAAAATTGCCCAGGAGGCTCCTTTTTTGATGCATGGCGTTCTGGCCATGTCTGCGCGTCACCTTTCAATCACCCGGTCCGAACAGTCGGCGCGCTACCTTGATCAGGCATTTAGGTTGCAGACAAGAGCCATCGAGCTATTCAATGCGACACACGACGAGAATAGCCGAGAAAAGTGCATGGCTCGGTTACTGTTTTCCTCCGTCCTCGGTCGTCACATATTGGCGGACGTTCTCCGTGACGACGGCTTGGACTTCCCCAGCTTCCTCAATCGCTTCGCCCAAGGCGTCAGAATTCATGGCGGAGTCAAAGCCGTTGCCGCCCAACAAGACTGGGTGTCTCTTTTGGAGACAGAACTTGGGCCATTGATGACCAGGGGGCTCGCTACAGACATGTACGACAAGACCGTACAGCCAAACAAGGCGCTGCAGTCTCTCATAGCACACTCGCCTAACTTGGAAGAGGAGGACAAGTCTGCGTGTGAGATGGCCCTTCGCCTTGTGGATACGGGTCTTGATGATCTGAAGGATCCAGGCAGGGTTGATTATGGTCGGCGGATGATGTTCACTTGGTCAATTATGCTCCCCGATCGTTACGTTCGCTTGCTGGAACGACAGGCTCCAGAGGCTTTGGTTGTATTGTCTCGTTATGCCATCTTCTTGCATTTCGGGCAGAACTTTTGGCAGATCGGTGACGCTGGATCGTACCTCCTTCGTTCAATTAGCAGCCATATGGGACAAGCGTGGCAACCGTGGCTCTCGTGGCCGGAGGACGTAGACCTTTAAACATGATTTTAGACAGAGGAAAGCTCTTAATTAGGGAACCGGGATACGCCAACGTTGCACTTATCATATAGATGAGGTAGACTTTATACGCGAACACAAACTTGACAATTGAACTGGCCCATCGAGCATAAATTACAATGCAATGACAGCCTGCGACTCTGCGCACAGTAAACTCCCAGCATTAGAAGCTCCGGGTTGCTTAAGGCGGCAGGAAGTAAGGCAGGTCACAGTTCGGCGTTGAATCTGCCGCGAATCCGCTCCCCAAAGGCGTAGAAGGCAACCAAAATTGGAACCAGAGTCAGTGCTATAAATCCCAATAAGCTGTTCCCCCAGCCCAGACCCAACGCCGCATACATTTCCAAGCCAGATAATGGCAGAAGTGCACCAAGGAGCGACCTCAGAATCGCTAGCGCTGCTGTTACTGAGGCAGCGTACTGCGGATAGGCGTCGATTAGATAGTTCTGGATACAGGTCTGTCGTCTTGTGAGTAGGTTTCTGGCGAGAATAATTTCCGTTAGGCTTACCATAGTGCCCATCAATCCAGCACACATTACCAAAACCGCCAGCATTGGAACGATCCAATGGACCCCATTTTGCACAGTCCATCCGTATAAAAACAAACCGACCGGCATCGCTAGTCCGCAAGGGACGGTCATCACTGGCTTGAGTCGATCCTCAGGCTTATGTGCCAAGCCTTTGGCTTTCGTCCGCTTCACAATCAAGTCGGTTAGCTGCCCGAAACCGACTACACCGATGACCATTCCTATGCCTGCAGGCAAGAAGGAGAGACCACTAGAGGCTTCGTCGAACCCGTAGTGCTCTTTGAAGACAAAGGTAAAAGTTGCAATAAGAAGGTAGAGAATCCCGTAGGATACGGCGATGTAGAGAGCATTGAGCGTGACCACCGGGGTTGTCACTAGTAGCTTGATCGGGCGAAGTGCGGCAAGGCGGAGCTTCTGCGAGATTGGACTCTCCTGTTCGAGCCTGCTGCGTATGTCTTGGTTGCCAGTTTCCTTTCGAAGACGACTGGCCTTGTGCTTCAGGAGAGCGGGAGGGTATGTTTCGCGTAGACCGAGGATCGAGATTGGTATGAAGTTGCCAGCCTGGGATGAGAAGTGAGGTATTAGAACTGTGGCGATGCAGCGATGTGATAGTGTTGAAGAATGGGTGCTCACCAAAATGCTGATCAGCCAGAACACCCACCTCCATCCAGCGGCACGTATGAGATAGCCACCAGCAACTGGCCCGACACAGGGACCAAGCAAGGGACCCAATGCCCAGATTGAGACAGCTCTACCTCTCTTCTCGGACGGCATCATATCTGCAATGCTTCCACTCCCAATAGTGAGCGGTACGACGCCAGATAGGCCCATCAAAAGACGAAAGGCAAGGAGAGACCCGATACTCTTGCTCAGCGCTGCCCCGACCGTGAAGCCAGTGAAAAGAATGTTGCCGTAAATGTACAAATACCGTCGACCGTAAACTTCGCTGATCGGGGCGACGAGCAAAGGGCCAAAAGCAAAGCCGAGAACATATATCGAGAGTAGAAATGTCGCAGTGATGGAGCTGTGGTCGTGAAATTCTTGCATGATCAGCGGAATACCGGGCGCAAACATAGATGAGCCCAAAGGTCTGTTAACATCAGCAAGAAGAATGACGAAAGTATCGGCAGAGTAGGAAGCATGCAGTGACTGACGTTACTATGCTGAGTAGGGATAAGATGGCGATATTCATCCATTTCTTCCCATCTGGCCAGTTGAGCGGATGCTCAGGGTCGTCAGGCCCGTTCCATTCCACGGTGGTAGGGTCTCCATCCGTCCGGCGATAGCCTTCGAGATCATGGTTTGAGGATGCTGAGAAAGGCTCGCGATGTTGTGGTTGTTGCGTCTTTGGGGTGTTCATCTTGGAGTCCTCGAGGCAGGTCTTTGAATCTAATACTTTTGCCATGACTGCCATTAAAATAAAGGTAGTCTGTCACAAGTAGTGGGAAACAAGTACGAACGACCCTTCTTCGTTGATAAATGCTTCTTGTCAAACGAACCCTGTCGCTGGACCTATTAGCATGCGGGAGAGGAGGGGCACAATCCCTGGAAAACGCGTATTTGAGGCGCCATTTCTTCACTCTAGCGACGATAACAAGGATTCAATGACAGATCACAGCCCGTCGTCGACATTATCATGTGGGGCATGTCCAAATGGTCTCAAGCGACATCCTTGACGGGATGGTCGAGTCAGCAGCATTATTTCGCAGCCAGTGACTTCTTCGTAGCGGTTGATGCGTATCATCGCCGAGCGGAGATGATCCCGGGGTTTCGATGCCAGCTGATTTGCAATCTCTCATGAGCCACCCTCGGCCTGAAGTTACTGATACTGACGATTCTGAACAGAATATTGGAGAAAAGAAGAGAAGATCTAGTTCATTAGCAATATTGTCGGCTCCATGCAATAGAGCATGATGGTATGGAACAAGATGGGCACACACAATAAGAGCGATGATGCAGCTGTGATTACTTTCAGAGCAGGTATGCCAGGGTGGAGGTAATAAGGATAAGTACATATGAAAGTCCACCATTCAAGAAGTACTTCTCATGATGGGCTTCGAGTATTTCAAAATGAATACCAATACAGAATACACTACCAAGATGATAGCAACATTTGAAATAAGAAGATCATGCGAATGGCTGAAGAAGAAATACGATAAAAGCAATAAGGACGACAAGGACGATGAGAATAAAAAGGATAACCAGGGCGGCGAGGATAGTAGTGACGATAAGGACGACGAGGACGACAGACTTTATGTGCTCTGTCTAGTCACCGCAAAGTTGTCACACTGTGATAATCCAACGAGAAAACATCAACCTGGACGCAATACTTGGGTGATCGTGGTTTGCTCACCATGTTCATGTGAATAATTCTAGGACAGACACTGGCGTGTTCGGACTGTGCTGACGGGACGAGTAAACTTGCCTGAATAGGTGCACCTCTCGGACTGCTGTAGCGTTCAATTGGGCCAACTCCGATGCTGACATTACCTCCACTAGTAGCTAGCGGGCGCCCCTTCTGTGTTGCTAATCAACCAGACATAAAACATCACACAATTCACAGCAGGTGCGGGGTTCTCTTTCTACTTGGCATAAGCGAAGTTCCGCATCTTCAGGCAGCCGCCGGAGTTGGATCGGGCAGGCATAATCGTCATTCTCCACCCGGACCGTCAATCAACTTCATCCCGTTCACCAACCTCCCGGAGCAACGTGGCCTGTCACCGTGTCCGCCACCGTGTCCTCCGCGCCCGGAGTCTATGATATCCATGAGAAACTTATAAAATCGTGCCGTCGCATAGTAATCGATACAGTATCATCCCACCCTTCCTCGGTTCAGAGTTCTACGGCCTACTCAACATGGCCGCCTCTCTCGACGCAATCCTTGCGAGGAACACCCCCGCTCCCGATCAAGATGCAGCTGGAAAGGTTCCTGGTGCCGCATTTATCGTCGTTAACAAAGATGGTATTCATTTCACCTTCCTTTGATTCATATGCCGTTCCTGACCCAAAGTCTAGGCGTCCTTTACAATGGTTCAGCGGGTCGCATCGACCCTGCCCTTGGGTCTCGCCCGTGGAGCGCCGATACATTCACCCATGTGGCGTCTTTGACGAAGATTATCACCGCTACTAGCATTATGCAGCTCGTGGAACGTGGCTTAGTGGATCTCGACGCCGACATGAGGGAACGCGTTCCGCGATTGGGACAAATGCCCATCTTGAGAGGCTTCACCGAAGATGATAAGCCTATCCTCGAAGATCACGACGTACCAATCACTCTGAGGTATTCAGCAGCATCTCTTCCTACACTCTGCATGATAAACTAACACAGGTGACAGAATGCTCCTGACTCACACAGTTGGGTTGAGCTACGACGTTATCGAGCCAGACCTGATGAGATGGCACAATGCTGTGGGCCGCAAGGCGACAAATCTGGACTGGAGCCTGGATGGCTTCCATACGCCTGTACTTTTTAAGCCTGGCGAAAGCTTTTACTATGGAACAGCGATTGACTGGGCTGGTCAAGCATTGGAGAAAATTACCGGCAAAACGCTCGGCGAGTACATGTCGGAGAACATATTCGACCCGCTCGGCATGAAAGACACGGGCTTCTGGCCGGAGAAGTTGCCCCACACCGCCGACCGGACCGCCACATGGTCCTACCGAGGCGAGGATGGATCCAGTATCGCCCCCGGTCAGCAGATGTTTGCCAAGGAACACCCGGTCGAGAGCGGCGGCGCGGGTCTCCTGACCACTGCTCAGGACTACAGCAAGTTCCTCCACGCGCTGTTGACAAACCAGATTGTGAAGAAGGAGACGGTAGATGAGATGTTCCGTCCGCAGCTCAACGAGAAAATTGCGCGAGACTCACGGGAATTTGCGAACAAGTCGTTGACAGCGGTTGAGTTTGACCCTGAACTCAAGCTCAACTACGGCCTCAGTGGATTCATCAACATGGAAGATGCCGAAGGGAAGCGCAAGAAAGGCAGCATGGCATGGAGCGGCATGTGCAATAGCCATTGGTGGATGGACAGGGAGTCGGGTATCGCAGCGGTACTGGTCGTACAGCTCATGCCGTTTGGTGATCCAACCTTCGTCAGGTTGTTCGATGAGCTGGAGCGAGCAGTCTACAGTGATTTGCTTGCAACGGCTTAGTTTGGAGTTGAGATGGCGTCGTTGCCATTCTTTTTTAGATCCTGAAATGTTTCCTATATCAACTCGACCAGAACCTGCGCTGTAATCAAACAGGGTATCTCATTAAGCTCGTCGTCCATCATCATAATGCTATGCTAAGTATCCCGTCTATCACCGGACTCTAATTGCCGTATACTCTCATCAGCACCCTTCCGAGCCCATTCCGGTGATGAAGGACCCGAAAACGTCGGCGAAGTAACCTTGGTGTACCAGCTATCAGGTCTCCCCGATTCTGGGTTTCGCAGTGGTACCGACCCAATCCGGCTCAACCTTTCAAATGGAAAAATGAAGTCTCTCGGCTCATGCATTATCTGTGTTCCCTGTGAAACCTGCTCGGAGGGGTTCACCGACGAAGACTCCATGCCCAGCTCACTTGTTCTCAAAACCCCTGTTAGGTGCTGCGTTTGAAGCTTGCTTCCTTTCAAAAACTTCAACTCAATGGGCGCAAAGAAGTTTCTTGTTGCGCCACTCGAGTTCGGTGTGAAGTGGTGTCGGCGCATTACCAAAATGTTGACAGCTGGGAGGCACGCGCATATCATGCCGATGCTCACTTCGGCCGTTCTGATTTTACGGTCAGCCTGGATATCCAGAGGAATTCGAGCCATAATTAATGTTGACTAACCCAAGAAGATTGAAACGGATGAAATCTACCGGCTCATCGTTCGACTTCTGCAGCTGTACCACGAGAATCATGCGAACAATGCTCGCGGCTGTGGCTATCCCTCCCGCGCTAAGCATGGCGAGCACCTTGAGCCTCTTCGACCAGGACATTCTGAGTGTCACGGCTACGGGTATCGGGATAGTCAAAACTGCGAGGTCGGTTACGGCGCTGACGGCTGTGTCGGCGAGAAATACGGCACGCTGGTTGAAGCAGTCCGCCGGTAAGTCCGGATCCCAGAAGCCGGCGATGGGTCGGCAGATCAGTGTCTTTATGACAAGAACAGGTGCATAATACCCGACCATGAATACGATGACGGCGTAGGTGGCTATTACAGTCTTTTTGTAGGTTCCGAAGACCCTGATCACGATGAGAAGTAGGGTGAGCTTGGTGAAAAAGGAGTTTGGCCCGTATACGAGGGTATCGGCGTACAGCCCCAGAGAGGAGTTCAGTTCATAGTACCTGAAAGGGATTTTGGCGATAGTTACCTTCTTGAATCCAACAAGACTCTCCTTAGAGATTTCGTAAACGTGATAGCCTCCACCATAGTGTTGCACTACCGTCTTGTCAGTAAGACATCTGATGTTGCCCTGCAGTGAAAACTCACTCACGAGAGCTGTGGCACTGTAGGCAATAGACAGGACCTATTCATGATGAGAAATATGTCTCCAGACATGCTTGGTAGTGAGCTTCATACCCACGCCACGAGGGCCATCCCTGGACTAACTCAGCGCCGGCTACAACTCGGGAGAGCTCATAGTATGCTTACAGTCATCGATGTGAAAAGGCGGTGTCATAGCCCATTTCACATAGCAGCGGATCATCATAAAAATGCTGACAGATACGATAGACAGGATCTGTGAAACAAGATTGATGGTGTGCAAGACATCCGTTGGGTTTTCAAAGTTGGGCACGACGCCTTCCGGCGGGGGGGCCGCCCCCACTTGGCTAGACATTGCGCATCGGGTATCGGCGTGACTAGAACTCGTCGGGATTCAGGAGGATTGACGGAGCAAGGCATGCTAGCAGAAGCGAATGTGAATCAGTTGGAATTTTGCTGTCGAGCCACCAGGTATTGTCGAGAAATTGAGCGTCGCGGTCGGAGTCGAGTTGTAGACATGGTGACGAGAGCAGCGCGGAGGTGTGGGCATCACACTTATTTAGACGGCTTGGAGCTAGTTGAAAGGACGCCTCCAGTAGGCCCTGGGCTGGAAAATATGAGCGAGCAGCCAGTAAGAGGTCAGCTAGTGATAACAAACCTTAAAGACAACTTAAAACGCTAATCACGGGGGATGCGGCCGGCTTCGGGACAAGCTTTCTGAGCGGGGGCAACGCCCGTCGTCGACGCCCGGATCGTGGCAGGGTACTTCGCCTGGAGGGGTCCGCGTGGGAAGACAGGATCTGTAGAGATGACAAGGGATGATGGAGATCGGCTATTGTCATGGCAATGATGGGTTTTGAGATCGGGAAGTAGCACCGCAGCCATGGGTTTCAGGCGCAGATGGAAGATTACTTCGGCGTGGTCTAAGAAGCGAATTTTGCGTACCACAAGTCAGGACCCCAAGGTCTAGTCTGCGAAGATGCCCTTTCCCAGAGAGCGTTCGAGCCTGATATCTCAGTTGGATAGGTGGGTGGCCTGTCCGCGACTCATTCCGTTGCAGGAGCTCTTTCGGATGGGTGGTCTGCGCTGATCAAAGACCGGTCTAGAGGGTCGAGTTGGCATGTGCCGGATCAGACTCCGACTGAGGACTTTTGTGGTCTGAAGTATCGACTCTGACTCGTCGCGAGGGGAAAGTCATACCGAGCGGCCGGACGATGGGGATTGAATGCGGGGTTGCAACGCACAGCATATTGCGTACTCGTGGCCATGTTTCCCGAAGCTTTGAGGTTGCTTGATTCAGCCCGGGCAGATCAAGGGTGAAATCTGATTCACCGGTTGCCAAAATATGCCCACTGTAGAAGCTTCGAATCGGGATGGAACTGCCGTTTGCGGTCCTCGTGGTGAAAAGCTACTGTGCCATGTGCCGAACCAATGGCACCACCGTTGTCTTGGAATTCTTCTAGAATAATTCGAAGAATGTTCCATCGGAAAGATTAGACTGAAACTGTGGAAGCTATGACAAAATTGCCGTGGCAAGGCAAGATTAGTCGTTGATAGGGGCTAGTGCGAGGTCGCGAAACCGAGGTAGTTGCTTGGCGGATGAAGTGGGATATTTACGGCAATATTCTCGCTCATTTCCTTCGGACAGGATGAGGCAAAACGTGAGAAGCCCACGGCAACTCCCAGTTATAGTGAATTCTCTCTTAGCTCTCGGCAACTTGGTTCAGGTCAAACCCAGTGGCCTGTGGAGAGTTTATCTAGAACGACCCGTCCTTCTGGTTATGACACCTGCGCAGTTGAGGTTTGTCTTGTGCCAAACGTCCTTCTCCGTGATTCTCCCACCGGCCAGCTCGACTGCCGATCTAAGGTGAGACTTTGAACCTGAGGCATGTGTTCTTCGTTACAAAACCATCATCGGCAGATATGAGGAGCTGGCCCTGCGCTGCCCCCTTCAAGTGTTTTGAACGTTTTTTTAGGAAAGGCTCAGGCTTCACGCAGCGTTTCCCCATCATCATGATATTCTTTGAGAAGGCGAAATATAGGCTAGTTCTGTCTCAGACAGCTGAATTTCGTGCAGGACGATCTCATCTGACCTTCATCTAGTCATTCCTATCAAGCCAATGCGCAAGACCCATGTGCTTTTGAAGGTCAGCCCGCGATCCCCATCCGGGAATGTATGACTTGCCTCGTGCCAGGCAGATGTGGTCCAGGACGTCGTAAAATAGGGGTCTCATTAGTCATGCTCTGCCGTGACTCATTTCGTGGACTTGTGCATACGTGAAACCTTTCGAATGCTTCATCTGCCCTCTGCTGATTAAGCGGCGAAAAAGAAGCCGCCGGGGTCGAAGCTTTGCCGATGAAATGCCATAGACCTCCCTTTTAACTTGACATGGGAATCTGGTTCATCATGTGAAAACCTCTGATGGGCTGACAAAAGAACGCCTCGTTGACTAAGCCCTATTACGACCCCTGGATGTTCTTTTACACCCAAGATCTTGACAGTCTTAGTCTGTATTTTACAAATATCGTTGCGATTCTGATTTGCGATATGTTGCACCACTTTCTTTAGCCCCGAGCCATGTTAGTCTTCTAAACCTTAGTAATGAAATTACAAATATCAGATGAGATGTCATGGCATGTGTGTAGTTGGAGGTTTGTCCTTTACCCCAGAGTGCCCTTATTCGTGATTCGCCTATTGGCCATCTCGCGATGCAGATAACAAGATAGAAGGTCCCCGACAGGTCATCATACACATCTCCAGTTGGTAGAGGCTCAGCCCCTAGAATTATTTACGAGGGGCTCTGTTATTCCCTTCCACAAAGACAATATCATTCAAGATCTTTCCTAGCGGTTTGAAGTGCATTGATTCGTGGGACAAGTACACGCTAGGCGATTGTCGTCCAATCTCTAGCCTTTTTCAGGCGTCTTCGCACGACAACGGTTACTTTCTGGATCACGAAACCGCTATGTTCTCAATGATGTGACCTTGGTCGGCCAAGAGGATGGGTCACCTTGATGGGTAGGGCGTTTTCAGCCGAGATGAGACTGAAGAAGTAGTCAGATCAGCCTCCTTCAGCGGACATTGCAATGGCTGGCTTTCATGGCGAACATCGACGTGGATTCAGCTTGTTTATATTGAACCCGGACCATGCCGTGTGTTGCTTCTCGTTTATGGACGCAGAAGGCAGTAGGAGGCGTTTGACGTCGTCTCTATATGCGGCGACGTCCACGGCGATGAGCAGGGGACATATACAATAGGAAGTCAACGACGTCATATTATTAGAAGTCTTCCCTAACAAGGTCTTGCTTCTTGGGAATGAACTTCGTTAAGAGGTAAATCGGCGGATATCACTCGGCCTATACCTTCTTCTAGCGATGTCTCTAGAAGATCCTCATCTTCAAGCTTATGAAAGACTTAGCTTAGGAAGTGTTGCTAGCTATACTAGCAGAGATAAGTTCTAGAGGTTTATTTGCATAGGATAAACTAGAGAGAAGAGCTTCTTAAAATTATATAGTTAGAGTATTACTATTTAGGTAAATACTTCTTGCTAGCAGGGTAAATAAATACTAATAGCTTAACTAGAAAATGATTTCCTTTATTACTGTTACTATTAGTCTTATAGGACTAGCTAGTGTTACGGTCAGCTATCCGACAGTAGGGTCTGCTAACAGAAGTTGGGGATTGACGTTAAAACAGTACAC